AAATCCTTAGCTAGGCGGCAGCTAACTAGCTAAACTGGCTAGCGAGTTATTTCGCCAACATAGCTGCCAGTATATTCAGTCAGCGCAAGTTCACCGTCTCGGTAGTTTCATTTCATTCTCATTTGTTTCCTTTCTTAACACGTCCTCCGACTGATAACGGCGCAAACAAGAACAAACACGACAGAATATAAATGTACCATTTTCACCGTCAAGTTGAGCGCTGCGTTCGTCTAGAATTAACGAGGTCTGAGGCAATTTTCTTCTCCACACAATAAACCCCTTGGCAAGCCTGTGCGCGAGGACCCTCGCGAGCGAAACGACTGGCCAATAGGAGCTCTGAATGTTGGTTTGAATAATCCATCACGCCAATTACATTATTGTTTGTACAGTATCTACCATCCCCCCACTTCCAACTGCTTTTTGCGCACGGACCTACAATGGCAGGGTAGCGTGCGACAGTAAATACAGCGATGCGTTAGTCAACAAAACTGCGAATGTGTGACTATTTTTTAGGTTTTACGTGCAACGGTGGGTTTGGATGAATAAGACAGAATGTGTGAAAGTAAAGTGGTATCTGGATGGGAGTATTCTTTCGAAAAAAACGATTCATGCATGAGCTATTTTATTGCCTTTATGTGTCATGTAAAAGGCGACTAATGGCGTAGATAAAGAATGCTATCGCAAAGCTAACTTAGAAGCTAGTTAAAATTGCATGTAACATTGTACATTACAAACTGGGTATAGTGGTCAACAACAGGCTTTCAAAGTCACACTATTTTTTTAAGAAAAAAGACTCAAGAAACTGGTTGTATTGGGCTAAAGAATGAAAACACTGCCTGATCCAATGAATTTCGTGCCGGTGAAATGACTGGGCTGTGGAGAAAACCGCATGACTTCATGCATCTATCACGCTGTGTGTCACCGTTGCAGGCTGATGCTTGTGGTACGATGATGTGGGTGTGTTTTAATAGAACACACTGCCCCTTGATAAAATGGAGACACATTTTAATGTACATATTTGCTGATGATTTTGTGTATCAGTCTGCAGATTGTTTTCTGCAAATAGATGTTTTTCAGCAGGGTTGTTACGCCTGACTGAATGCATTACTATGAAGCTGATACCAACAACATATAAGATATACCTTTTGAGGTATGTGAAAGTTAGGTTTAGGCTGGTGTTGCACTCAGATTGCAGAAGGAAAACGATGTTCTAGTTCTCGCTGTAACCCACCAAATTTACTCAGAGGGATGAGTAATCTATACTTTTGTACATATGTATTTGCACCAGTTTTCTGTACTACTATGGTATATACCAGTTTTCTGTACTACTATGGTATATACCAGTTATCTGTACAGAATAATGGGGGCAGTGTGCTTGTGTTCGGAAGGTTGCTGGTTAAAATGAGAGCAAGATGGGATATGTCTAAAGAAATTTTCACATGTACTTTTTCAAATGGCAAATAAATCATTATAAGTAATACATTAAAAACCAGTGTGCAAAATACCCATCAATATTGGGGGGGGGGGTCCCCATCTCCCTATTGTTGCACAATACCGGCCTTGAGACCCCCTTAAAATTTTGCTTTTGAGGCTTTCAGGGGGTCTAATGGATTAATGGGGGGTGTCGGACCCCCCCGTATTTCACACACTGATTAAAACAATGCACAGGTTCAGCATTCTACAGGAGTTTGTTAATCATTATGTATATTCCAGAGTTGTCAATAACATATATCTACACATATGTATGGGATCCACATGATCCACACAGGCCCCCTTTCTCATGTAAGGTGCTGTTTGGTACAGTTCAGAGAGTATGAGGAGCTAATTACATAGAAGAAATATGAGCAAAACTAATGCAGGACAAGCAATACAAGTGAAAAGCAGATAGGTGTAACTAAATCTGACATACCTGACATTTAAAATGTTTATGTGTATATGTATTGTGTGTGTGTGTGTGTGTTTATACTCCCTATACTGACCCCATATAAAATCAAGCATATCAGAGTGGAATTTGTATTTGGCAGAAGTAGTCTAAGTAGAGTAAAATTTTCATTACATAGTGGAACTGACTGTTAACTGTGCTTACGACAAAAACACTCTTGAATCATGAATATGAAGAGCATTTTTCCAAGATTTTTGGCCTGGTTTAATATTTCACTTCATTATCCAGCTTTGTAGTTCGATATTGGATTAGGATCAAGTTTGAAACGTCTAAATTTAATTAAGAACTGCTTATATGTTCTAATTAAGTTCCTTGGTTTTACTTTAAAAAGTAACGTTGTGAGCACATTGTATATAAACAGCGATTAGTAAAGTTTTGGGGCTGGTTGACCTAAATAGTATAGATTTTAATGGCAGCAAATGCTATTTTTGTCACAATGAATTTCAAATGAGTTATGAGTCACTAAATGAGCTGTAATGGCTGAGATAGTTTAACATACCAAAATATTACATTAAACTTAGTGTGAAATGTTTTTGCTAAAATTGCTGAATTGAGCAGGATTGTGCAGTGGATAGCACCTCATACATCTGGAGACCAGGGTTCAGTTTTTGTGTATGGAATTTGCATGTTCAGCACATGTTGTGGCTCCAAAAACATGCTAAAATGAATTGAAGTTGCCAGACTCTCAGTAGGTGTATATATATTTGTGCCCTGTGGTGGGTTGGTGCTCTGCCCTGCATTATTCCCTGCCTTGTTGCCCTGCTTCCAGAATAGGCTTCCCATCTCCTGTGACACTGTATAGGAGATGAATGAATGAATTGAATTATACATTACCAGTGACTAAAATAATACAAACTCATATATGACAATGACACAATTTTAGCATTGTAATTGGCATTTATATTTTGATATGATGAAAGTCAGATGATTTGGGGAGCTGGCAGAGGCATATTCATCAAAATTATTCCAGTTTTTCGCATTGCGTAAATATAATTGTTAAATATATGTAAAATGGATATCAGTGTTATTTCGTATATATTCTTCTGTTTTTTTCCAAAACATATTAAAGTTGTGCCCCATTATTGCTAATTATATTTTCCTGGGCTGCTTTGAATGTACCATGCACTTCCTGGCTCATGTTGTTGTCAGTTATCACAACCTACACAAAAACGCCAAACAGTAGAATAAAAAAACCATAAGTTGATTTTGTGCAAAACCAAAATGTTGATGTCATTTAGAAGACTTTGTAGTGCCTAATGTGTACTGCTCCAATGAAATATTTATTACTATAAGTAGTGCAATTTTTATGCACACAACCCCAAGCAATGTGATTTTTTTTAATACAAACTACTTAGTAACAGATAATAAAATAATGTCCTAATGTATCTTGCTCTTATTTATTATTATTATTATTATAAATTTTGATGATTTAATAATTGCATATTATATCCACATAGCTTGCTGTGTCAAAAGCTCCCCAATCCCAGCTATGGAAACTAAGCAAACATTTATGGGGCGGGAGGGGGGGTGATGTCACCATTGTTACAGTCTCACATAGTCCAGTAAACTGCACTACATAGAGTAGAAGGAGCAGGGACTGGGCCTCGGGAGACTAATTACATCTACTGGTGCATAATGCTGGAACACACAATGGAGCATCTGTGCTCTGGATACAGGTGCAGAACATGGAGAATAGTGCATATGAAGAAATGTGTTACATGGTTCTGTATGGGGGAAACAGCATGTATGGAGATGATCTTGACAGAAATTTTAGTAACTGTGACCCTCACCTGGAAAAGCAGTGGGAAAATGAAATGATAAGAGAGGTTATGGATTCATAAGTTAGTCGATTGCAAGGCCAGTCATAAAGGAGTTGCAGAAAAAAAAAACCATGAGGATGAGTAACCAAAGCAGCCACACGTGCAGGATTACCAGATGTAAAATGATCCTCTTTGTGCACATTTGTTATTCTGTGGGTTTGAATAAGTTAAACTGTTTCTCACACTAATGAAGAGGGAGGAGATTATTAAAACAATGTGAAGCTGGCACAATTTCACCTCACAGGGCAGAGACAGAGAGTTCTGTCAGTTGAAGTCCCATAAGGTGTTGTTGGCCAGAACTTGTCATGCCCTTGAGCAATGCAGTTAACCTTAAGTACTCCAGTGAAATACTGAGAATAGTAGGTGTACAAGTAATGTAAGGTGTTTTGGGTCAAAATCTAGGTTTAAGAAATCAGTATTAAATGTAATGGATCATGACTGTGATACAGACAGCTGGCTTAAATTAGATTTGGTGTGAAGACTCGAGATTTAGGAGGTCACTAAAATATCCATCTTTGTTAATAGATAAAACATATCCCTTGTTTTAGACAAAAGCATCAGAAAATAACCGATATAATAAGCTTTCAATGTGTGATTTTTTTTGTTTCGTGTTACCGGAAATGTCTCATAAACGATCATTTAGAGTCACGTGATTAAATCAATCATTGCGTGAATAAAAGTATCTATGGAGGAATCATAGGTTCAGACATCGTAATAACGTCATCAGTCTGTCAGAAGGTAAGATTTTCTATGAAGGGTTATTCAGTGTTCGTTGGCAGCAAGTGTTGTTTGAAGGGGACTGACTTTCAGATAACATAAACCGAACCACGGTATATCTTTTGTCTACGAATAATACACGTGACCAGAAAATAGTGACTGACAAGAGTCACTTGCAGATGTTCCCCGGAAATAAGGTAAAGTAATGGCCGGTTTCATTGACACATGTCTTTCGCACCGCGTACACTATATGGACAGTAATTCAGCATGACAAGACGGGACGACCAATAACAGCGTAAGAAATAACGGCATTTGCTACGTCAATGCAGAAGCGTGAACCAATTAAAAAAGAGATTGGGAGAAATTGTTGTGTCGGATTAAATAATTCTGACCAATGGTATCGGAATATATGGATAACAAAGATATGATTGGCGAGGGAAATGGAGCTACGAGGAGACGAATGCTAGTTTTGCGGCTGTAATTGGCAGGATCGAAGCCAATGTGAGGGCGATGGGCGGGACCGCACGGTGTCCGCCAAAGGGGTGTAAACGGGGGAAAGATACGCAGGAAGGAGAAGCTGGCTGCTGGTGGCGAAGATGGCGGATGGAGACAGCGGGAGCGAGCGCGGTGGAAGCAGTGGAGGCGGGGGTGGCAGCGGCTTCCAGCATTTCCAGAGGGAGCAGGAAACCCAGGAACTGGCGTCCAAGAGGCTCGACATCCAGAACAAGCGCTTCTACCTGGACGTGAAGCAGAATTCGAAGGGCAGGTTCATCAAGATAGCGGAGGTCGGAGCCGGGGGCTCCAAGAGCCGTCTGACCCTCTCCATGTCCGTGGCGGCCGAGTTCCGCGACTATCTTGGGGACTTCATTGAACACTACGCCCAGCTTGGGCCGAGCAGCCCGGAGCAGATCGCGCAGTCCTCCGGGGGCGAGGACGGCGGGCCGCGTCGGGCCCTGAAGAGCGAGTTCTTGGTCCGGGAGAATCGAAAATACTACCTCGATCTGAAGGAGAACCAGCGGGGAAGGTTTCTCCGGATCCGACAGACGATCAATCGCGGGCCCGGCTTCGGGGTAGGGGGCCCCGGAGGCGGCATGCAGGCCGGGCAGACGATCGCCCTGCCGGCGCAGGGCTTGATAGAGTTCCGAGACGCCCTGGCCAAGCTGATAGATGATTATGGCGGGGACGACGAGGAGCTGACAGGCGGCGCCGCCGCCGGGGGCTACGGCGAGCTCCCGGAGGGCACATCGATCATGGTGGACTCCAAGCGCTTCTTCTTTGATGTCGGGTCCAACAAATACGGCGTGTTCCTGAGAGTCAGTGAGGTGAAGCCGAGCTACAGGAACTCCATCACGATTCCCTTCAAAGCGTGGGGCAAGTTCGGCGGCGCGTTTTGCCGGTACGCCGAAGAGATGAAGGAGATCCAGGAGAGGCAGAGGGATAAAATGTACGAGCGGAGAGAGGAGTCGGAAGGGGAGGACGTGGACGACGACTGACTGCGGCTCACCGGGCTCATTAGAGAAATAAAACGTAAAAGAGAAAAAAATCCGCTGAAGTCCACCCCATTAGAGTAATGTTTCCGAAATGCAGAAATGACATAATGTGCATGACAAATCGAACATTTAATAATACAGACAGGGATGCATTGTTTTAAAAGCAGAGTTATATGATAAGTGTTTTTTTTGGACATAGATTGGGTAAAGAGACGAGTATCTATAACTTAGGACATATCCCATGGGTTTGTCCTCCAAGCAAATCGATCAACTCGCAAATGACGCATTTAGTTGTTTTTTTTTTCCTCCGAGAAAAATATTTTAAGTGTTTAAAACCTGGATATTGATTCTAAACAAATATTTCATAGTCTAGTTAAGTGTTGCCCTCGATGAACGGAGTGAAATAACCAGCATTCATTTTATTACCATTATTAACGAGCTCTGTCCTGCGCAGAACAAGTTTGTAATGATCGCATCTACAAGGACTTCCCGGCTGTCCGTTAATGGAACAGCAGTTAAATGTTTCTAACAGATCTATTACTATTAACCAGAAAATTCAGCGACAAATACAGTAGGTATAAATGAGACCAATTTGGTTGGAGGGGATAGATGAAATAGGCACTAACAGGTACCAACTTTGTTGCAATAGCTCTCGACGGTAAAGATCGGCTGCATAAACAGATGTGGAGATTATGGGACGAAGCGCTTGATTTACATTTTGCTTTCGAGTTTAAGGGAGGATTTAGATGCGTGATCACCTGCGAGTGACCGGCGTAGAAGAGGTTTCATCGAACGCCTGCAGAATAGCTGCGATGTCTGTATGAAGTACAGACCGTGTGTTTCAGAGTCGTTTTAAAGCTGCTGGGACTTAAAAGAATTACTGACGGGAGGGAGAAGAGCAAAGCAACACGTGTCCTGCGCCCCCCCCCCGTGCGGACACCCGGAGCATCATTACTACTCTTCAAGTTTATAAGAACTTACTACTGGATGTGTGGTTTTTTTTTGGGAGGGGGGGGATGTGTGGGGGGGTCATCTTAGGGGAGTAACAGATCAACTTGGACCTTGATATAAGGTAACATCAGTCATTCTTTTACTTCGAAATGTTTTAGCGACTGATCAGTTTGAATCAATGGAATAAAATCCCAGTGGGGGACTGCAATGCGCCTTCTGTTGGGCAGATGGATGAATGGGTTAAAAAAAGCAAACAGCTGAAAGATTATAGTTACGAATTGAACAAACCAGCATAACATATTTTTAAATACTTTAAATGGAAAATATATAAATCACAGAATTATAAGAGATTGCATAACAGGCTTATTTGATAAATTAAGCTTGGATACAAAGTTTGTCTATGTGGATTTTTTTTATATTGATATATATATATATTTATATATATATATATATATATATATTCATTCTGTAAGGTCGTCTTTTGTGTCAAAGATAGTATGGAGGCCTGTGCTTCAAAGTAAATCAGATGTTTTGATAGACAGCAATTTCTAATTTTCCCCTTTTCCTTTGATTTCATGCTGCCCTAATGGGCTTTCGCCTGTGTGACCCACCCTGTTTTAAAGGAATGTTCCGCTCTGTCATGTTGAAGTTAGTTTCAGGATGCCTGCAGGCCAGACAGCAGCATGCCGCTGGATGAGCTCTGGGGCTCCTTCCAGTTGTTTGAATTGTGCATGCTTATTCATGTTTTCAACTGCCTTGTGTTAATTTATTGCTTATTCTGATTTACTGTATGGCCTATTAATCACCTGTGGGAAAGATTTTGGCTTTTTGTGAGAAAGGGAAGAATTGGAGTGATGAAAACATTTCTGGGTCTCAGCTGCACCTTGAGATGTAGAAATCTGTATCCCCCTCTCCAAATTGAGACTTCCCTGCTTATAGGGCTGTTCGTATAATCCTCCAGTCTTTCACACACTCTTCTGCATAAAAGCAAGTGTGTGACTACTCTCACAGTTACCAAGCTGAGTAGCCTGAAATGGAAGCTGTTTCAGTCCTATGCTCTACTCTATGTTTCTGCCTGGCTCCTATAAGTAATTACATTTTTTTTTTTTTTTTTAATTTTTGCTGAGAAGAAACCGTCTGAGCTGGTCAGTGGAAAGAATTTGGATGTGGAAGATGAGACCTGAAAGATGAATAAAATGGAGATGCGTGTGAAATGAACATGTTTCATTTTGGCTCCACAGAGTTTCAGAAACAGAGCCAAAATGGCTGCCTGGGGTGTTGGGGGAGGTTCGTTGTCATCCAAAATTGTGTAAAGCATTTTTGCCGGGCACGAAACAGGGTAGTTAAGGTGAGACTGCAGGCTTTAGCTCTTAATCGGGCTCCGGGGCAGTTTGACGGAGCTCTTGTTACTGTCAGTTGGAGGTTTGGGTTGCCTTTGTCACTGCTGAGGGCTGCGGGACGCAGACTTTCTCGCAGACCTCACAGGTGATGGCAGACGTTGATCATGTGACGCGTGTGAGAGATGCGGCTCCTATAGTTTCACATACAGTTATACTAACTCCTAAGTCCTTCACAGACTGATGGAAACTGCCGTAACCTCCAGTCAGCTTCACGTGTCTTAAATGCAGTTTTTTTCTTAACCAGATTATGGAGGCAAGTAAGTGACCTTGTCAGGGTGTGTAGATGGGCTTTAAGAGGGAAAGGATCCAAATGAGTATCACTCGTCGTAAAAGGTTGGATGCGTGAAAGTAACTTATCATGATTGTGATTTAGTAGACATCGCTTTCTTCGCCGTTCATGGAATGGTGGACGTCTGAAACAGGAACGTACTTCGAAACCATTGTTCTGTCAGTTTTGTCTGCAGGTGTTAGTGATCAGCTGTTGTCCAGCAAGCTGATCTTACACCTTGATAGAATCACGTCTCTCGGACAGAGGGAGGCTTGTAAGGGTGACGCAGCAGGAACAGCTGCGGGCTGCACTCGGTCACAGCCCACCTCCGTCCGTCAGCTGTCGCGGTGCCCCAGAATGGTGCGGGGGCGGGGGGGGGGGAGGTGTGCTGGGGTTTACTTGGCCCAGGACGGTGGGAGAGAATGAGAGGAGACGCCTTAGGTGATGATGTTACTGAAGGTGGGTCTAAGACGCATGTAAGACTTATTGCTGCATCTGCCATGGGAGGGCATGCTGGCTAGGATGTGTTGGATGCAGAGGGGGCATGTTTGTGTGTGGTGGGGGGGGGCGGTGATGACAGCTGGCCGGGGACAGCCAGTCACACAGCTGTGCTGCTGTTGCCGTGGATACATAGGAAGGGCCAGGCGGGGCTGAGCCGTCAGGCTGCTGGGAAACTCTGTTCCAGTAGGACGCTCGGAACTGGTGTCACGTGACTGTAAAGACGTGGTTCAACGGCACCTTTTCCTTTCTCAGAACTGGCAGCATAGTGTCACCATGGATTCGGAGAATTATTCCCATTTGCGTCCTGATTGCAGGACGGAAGGTCAATTAGACTATCAGGTTATTTCGCCTCTCCCTCACTGCCCAAATTGTGTCCGATTACTTGGTTCTGGGCTGAGTCCACCAATGCTGTCAGGATCCGTCTCACTATGAAATCCAGGTGCCTGTTACTCCTGCGTCGCTTTGAGGGCACCCCAGTTCGACGACTGACCCGCTGCTCTCACTCTGGGCACCCAAGAATGACGACTGAACCGCTGCTCTCACTCTGCTCTGTAATGCCACAACTGAGAATTGATGGGGAATGAAAAATGCATGATAGTAACAGGAAGTTAAAACTATTTGAAAACGACATTCCCTGGCAAGTAAAGGATGTATGTCTGAGAGAATGTCCTTCTTTGTGGTTGAGTGGGATGTAACCAGATTCCATCTCAGTTTTCACATCTAGTGTAGGAATTAATCAAGTCCTGCATCTGTTTCAACATGGAGGAATTGTTTTTGGTGTCTAGAACTAGAGCTATAAATCTGTGGGTTGTTTTTGTTTTTGCTGGACTTGTAGGTCCTTAATTCACAACCTTTCTCTAACATGGATTTTGTTCTACATGGAGAAACAAACCTAAAGCATTTTTTTGCTGATCATCTTGCTGTCATTTGAGTGTCTTTTGGTCCATTGCAGAAGAATTCCTTCTGAAACTCAGGCAGGATTATGTCCTTGATGGAGGGAAATGCATGGGGAGGGGTGAATTTGGACTGAATTTGTTTTAAAGTGTTTTAAAGTGTTTTAATCCAACGGGCACATCTTACCTGTAGGGTGATACACGTCTGCGATTCGGCAGACGACACGCGAGCGTTTTTTACCTGACAGTTTAGACGCTGCGATTATCGTCAGCAGTGAGTGCGCTCCACACAGATCACTGTATTTTTAAGCAGGAAGCGTAATGGTGCTAACCGTTAGCATATTCCTTACATCTACATAATATACTTTTAAAAATGCATTTTAATCTTCAGGCACAGTTTTAGTAAAAACGGGAGAGAATTTCTCTCCGAAACAGCGTGTCGGTTATTCACCGTCAACAAGATGGCCGCACGCAAGGAACTGCTGCCTTTCCGGTCCACTTGTGTTCCCTGCAGACATCATTCCCGAATGGCAGCTCCAGTACTGCAAGACGTCGGAGTGGGGCTGGGGAGTTCAGGCTTGCCCAGCCCACAGGGTGGTGGTGGTGGTGTGTGTGTGTGTGTGTGGGGAGTTGGGATGGGATTTGCGTTCCCCCTATAGCCCCTCTGACATAGCCTACCATGTTGCACAGCTGCATTCTGACAAAATGAGCTACCTCCCACAGTGAGCTTCCCCTGAATTCAACCCCCACCAAACAATCAAACAAACATCCTAAATTTTATCCCCCTACAATGAACAGGAACATCTCTGAAGGAATCATCTAATTTTTTTGTCCCGATCACTAGCGGTTTTTCATCGCTGGTTCTGACGACGCGATAAGCTACCTTGGTTACAATACAGCTCATCCTGAACAGGCAGCTCAGTGTGTCGGACGGCCAGCTATGTACCCCTTCTTACGGTTTTATTTTACTGTTTTTTTTTTCCCCCAAATAGAGTTTTACAAGTCTATATTTAGAAAATGTAATGTATGTTTGTATCAAATAAAGAAACCTATGATTAATGAAAATAATCATTCCACCAGCCCTGGCATCTCTCCTTTTTTCATAAAGGTTTTTTCGCTGGACCAATAAGTCCAGTCAGTGTTTACTATGTTTTTTTTTTTATATCCACAAACCCGAGGACGATGTTGGTCCAAGAGCAATATGCTATTTGAATAGCATTTATAAACTAAACACTGTTGCCCTACATTGGTTTCTTTATTGTTTTCCACTGTAATTCTGCAATGTTGTCGGCATTGTTAACACCTTGTAGGATCAGTGCTCTGTGGCTTTGACTGGTTTGCTCTTTTCTGGTCACTTTGGTCAATGACGCTGTTATCTACAGCAGTGTTTCCCAACCTGGTCTTCGTGGACCCATAGACGGTCCATGTTTTTGCTCCGTCCCAGATGTTCTAACAGGAGCTGGGAGGGAGCAAAAAAATGGATCGTCTTGCGGGCCCCCCAAGAAGCGAATTGGCAAACACTGATCTCGAGTATTCCAGCATGGGCCTGACCCATAGGAATGCGTTTTACTGGAAATGTGAATTTCTCAAACTCCCATACCGCTTTCCTTATTTTTCACCGACCTTCCCAGGGACAGCTGATTATTTTACTGAGATTGTTTCAATAAAACAAGTTTAAGTCTAATAAATGATGTCGCATTTTTCGGGGTATCAGTCATGGCCCAAAGCCCGCAGTTTAAGGTAAAGAGAAAAACCTGAGAAATGTTAACAATCTCAGTTTCAAAATAATCTTGGAAATGAATTTGGTGGGTAATATTCGAAGACTATGAACTGGATTTAAACAGGTCCCATACGTGATGAGTGTTTTCTATCTGACTGTAGATTAAATTAGCTGGTGTCCTTTGAGACCAGAGTTCAGCTTGTGGCTCCGTGGGTTAGGAACCTGTGTTGGTGGCTGGCAGAGTAATCATGTCACCACTGGGTTCTTCAGCAAGGCCCCCAACCCCAAACCTGCTCTCTGCCCCCAAGCTTCGCTTTGACCTGTGTATCCTCATGGAGGGCAAGTAGGGATACGTGAAAACTGAGAAACTCCTATGTGCCTGTACATTTAGCTGTGCCAACAGCAAATAAAAATGTTCATCTTAATGGGAGTTCCCATGGTAACGTGAGACTCGCGATGGTAACCGGGTTCAGGGGACTGCTTGCTCATACACGGCCGAGGCCTCCATCTCGCCCCGTAAGATTTGTTATGTCAATGTACATTCCGGATTCGGGTGAGGGGATTTGGGTCGTCTCTGAAACGACAAAGATCTAGAGCCCTATTGGCTGGCTGCACACCCCAAGGCCCACCCCGATTGGCCATGCTGACCTGAGATTAGGTGCTGGGTAGCTGGCCAGGCCATATAATGCAACTGCAGCCCACAGCCGGATCAAGCAGGGATTATGCCAAATGCCTGCGGCATCCTGCTGTGAGCCCGCTGAGGTGTGAGCAGCTCATTGAGCCCAGTGTCCCAGTGTCCCAATGTCATGGGAAAGGGCAGAAGGCATCCTACAGGGCATGGGGTGATGAAGACTGGGCACCCCAAAGCAAGCCCCCTCTTCCCTATCATCATTATCATCTTAATTGACAGTAAGTATACATCTTTTGATATTCCCAAGAAAAGGTAACAAAGATGGAGCAGATAAAGGGAGAGCAAAACTCTAAACTCATATTAATATGTCCAATTTTAAAGGTGCCATAGAATGAAAATCTGGCATTACCTTGGCATAGCTGAAAAAGGACAGTTCGGTACATGGCAATGACTCACCGTGAATCTCAAACACTGTTGTTCCCTCTTTCAAATATAATTCCTGAAAATGTAAAAGGAGGAAGCCTACTTTTGATTAGCTAAACAAATGTCTAATTGATACAAAAAAATAAAATAAAGCAGAACTCAAAATTCATTACAAACACATTTACAAGCTGCTTGGCTTGCTGTTTGGAATTCTGATAAAACTGGCATGACAAAACTAGCATTGTAAAATCATTTGTTGCCTGAGATAAAATTAATTTCAGTGTTCTTGTTACAATACTGAAAACAAACTTAGCGGTATGCTAACATGCTTAGGCTGAAGTGGGACTTTTACAGTTATGTGCTGCAAATTGTTATAGGAAAAACGAAATGACAAAACTTACCACTCAGAAGCCTTTGTTGGTTTAGCAACATCCAATTCCTCCATTGACACAGGCACAAACATACATGGTTGGATGCCTAAATGCTCCATGTTTCACCTCACCTGTAGTGATCTATACTGGTTCGGTGTCAGCCATCTTGGTGCCTCACTGTAAACCAGCCAATCAGAGCAGAGCTCATGAACATATTAATGAGCCCACCAATTAAGGGAAAACAGCCCATTTCGTCCAAGGGCCAAATTATAGGATTAGAAATGGACCTGTAAAACCACTTCTGGACATTTTCCGACCAAGTTCACATACCTTCTATGAAGACGCCAGACAACAATTTGGGAATAAAATGCAATCTATGGCACATTTAATGTGTAAATTCCAAATCTTCTTGGGATTTGCCAAAACCTAAAAGCTGATTCAGCCGGAACTCTTTATACAGTCACAAGGTATTTTCCAGAAACCGGTGCGTTCTAAAGTGTAAATAAAAACGCATTAATAATTGCATTCAATCATATGTTTTATATACTTGGCCAGGAAAGGAAGCTGAACCTGAATTCACCTGTACCCGTTCTGTAGCTTTACAACCATGGACACTGGAGCAGAGGTGACGGGGGGAGCATAAGGCAGCAGGGTTAGATCCATGTTAGCCTGCGAAACCACCCACCCCCTTCCGAAACTGCAACAAGATCGGTTTAGCCAGCATCTAAGGAACAGCTTGATGGGTGGGTGATGGGAGGGGGGGGGTGTGCTACAGCTGCGTGACAAGGGGATCCTGCGTTTGTAGAAAAAGGTCCTCATGCCAGCATACAAGCCCGGCAGCCGGAGCTATATATAGATCGTGTTGCCATGTGCCGAGGACAAGGCGGCGTGCAGACGCGCGTTCACGCGTCGCCGTGCCCGTGAGAGGGACGCCAGGCGTGTATCTACCCGCCTGCATCTCTACATACGACAGAGGCGCAATTCACAAAAGTTATTTTCACGTGAATCATTCAAACTCTTGTCAAAAATTAAATTCGCTGAGAATTAGTAGTGGAGGGACTACACGGTAATTCTTTGTACTCTGTGACCAGAATTGCTTGTCATCCTTGTGTTTTCCCGAAATTATATCATTTGTATATTAACGTGCAAATTTAAATGTACTAAATCCATCGTTAGATCGTTTTCTGTCTCACTAACAAAACAATAAAAATAACCACATTGTGTCTATATACGCATCCAAATATACCCCAAAACTATAGTGTAGAGGATCAGTGCAGCGCTGTCATGGAATCAGATTATCTGTTTTTGAAGAAAAGCCGCATCAGCTGTGACAGACGAGCAGAGAGGTAACCATTGACCTAAGTGTGTCAACTTGATCAACCAGGGCCTCCTGAAAATGCGCTTTTCCCCATCCTTCCCAGTTACCTTAAGGACAAATCAAGTAAAGTTTAGACTATGCACGTCCTACTTGGCTGCTGCACGTGTCTAATAAAGCACCATTGAAAATTAAAACAGACACAACTGATTAACGTCTGTCATTTATTAAAATAAATTGTGGAAATATTTGATAATTGGTTTAATTTCTCACATTTAGAACGAAACCGTCGTCTGCCATATTGGTAAGTGATTCGTTGATCGGGGTACAGCAGACGCCCGTAATCAGTGCTGGAGGTGCGCTGGTACTCACCGGTGCCCAATGCCTCTACGTCTTTGTTTTTCTCTTCAAAGTTTCTTGCGTACCGACACCTCTCATAATCCGCCAGTACTGAATAACAAGCGGAGCACCGGCACTTGCTTTCCCCCCCTTCAAGCACTGCCTATAATCATTCTGACCTGCGGCAAGGAGAGGGAACAAAACAATCTGAAGTTTCCATCCAGGGGCGTCGGGGGTGGAAGCATGGATACCCTGGCAGATTCAGGGGTTCCAGCATTTTATAGAGCCACCAAATACGTAAAAATATAATTTTCATTTGAGGAATACTTCCGCTTGGCAAATCCTGCCATGGGGACTACCATCCCCCCATCCCGCTGGGCAAATTCTGTCTACCGTGGGGGACACGTATTTCCTCAAGTGAAAAATGGCAACCCTAATGAAGGTGGTTGACCGGGGGGGTTGCAGAATTTCTAGCTATGCTCCTTAAAGTCACTGGTTTTGGACCTGGTAAACTGTCTTAATTTCTCTATTCCCGTTTCTGAATTTCAACAAATTTGAAGATTGCATTATGATGATTAACCACTGGGTGGCAGCACACATCTGTGCAAAAGCTATTAAAAAGTCAGGGCCGTGTTTATTTAATTTATGAATTCATGTAGGTACAATATTTTATTGGTCCCCGGGAAACAGTAATTTAATAATTAATGGATTAATTGATAACACAGTGTGGGTAAAATCCACTCACTATAATTTCACGAGTCATCAGCATTTTCCTAATGTTTTTCTGGGTCCGGGTTGAGTGACCTCTTTTTCAATATATTTCTGCGCCACCCCCTACAGAATGTGGCAGCGCGCGTGGTCATATGCCTTCCCCCAGCCTACAAAGCACATGCAGACTTAACCACAAATCGTCTTACAGGACTTGAGCCGCTGTTCCATGGCCATGGTCATTCTGAATCCTGGGTTCCTAGATAGATAGTTAGAACATACCACGTGGTCCCCTCTTTTAAAATATATATTAAATTAATTAAATATATAAAATATTTAATATACCCCTGTAGCCAATAACCTGCCGAGGCCTCTGGTTAACGTAGCAGTGTCAGCTGTAGACCAGACTCTCATCCACTAGGTGTGCCTAACACTGCCTCCTTTTGAGATGGATAGATGGATGGATGGATGGATGGATGGAAATTTCCGGTAGCTCCATATCACAGTGGTATAAACATAAACACACAGAAGAGACTATGAAGTATAGACATACATTAAAACGGAGCTACTGC